CACTCGGGAATAAAAGTTGTGTGTTCGTCATGACCCCCTCGTTTGCTTCGTCTTCGTGGCTGCCGCGTCGCTGTCTATGTCCCAAAGCATTTTAGCTTTGAACACGGATAACGCTGCGCCGTGGGGTACGTACAATATGTTGCTCGATTGATGATACTGGTTGGGTTTCGTGTTGTGAGAGAGAATACCCATGCATTTCGGCTATCCTACCTGGTCAAATATTTGCGACAGTTATAGGACCTTAGTGTATAGCGTAGTAAAAATCAACATAAAATGAAATAAACATTCCAAGTGCTTTTGTTCTGTCGTGCACAAACTAAACAAATAAAATAACTTTCATTTGTTTGTGTGTTTCTAAAAATTCTTAAAAACCTCTAAAAAGGCTATTCGCCATAGAACACAAAAGGAACAATAAGATGCGTTAACTTAGCCTTCAACAGCGGCCGGCATTGCGCCTATACAGGTTGCCACAGCCCGCTGACAAGAAAACCCACAGTCCAACGCAATTGAGCAACACTCAAAACCCAAGACGCGCGCTGTAAATAGCTTCGTTGGCCGCTAGAAAAGTCTATTGTGGCTTCACTTTTGCTCTCAAGCTCGTTCAAAAGAGTTTCTTTCATCTCGTTGCCAATGCGCACATTGTTTCATTCTCAGAATCCTCGAACCCATTTTTTGGCCAGGTGGAGCAAATTATTTCTAAAAAGGTGGAATCTGATTTTGGAATCTTGCTTGATGCGTCGAATATGGTTCGAGTTGATGCGGAAGTTGGCCAGGGGAATAGGGTTTGCAAGCGGTTTCGTTGACACACTCTTGTGTTATCCGTGTTTCCCACCTAACCTTCATAATCTTTTTTTTTTATTATTTCTTTTACAGTTTGAAGGTACAGGCGCTCCTCCTCGCTCTTGGCTGGGGAGACAGAATACTCGCTCTTTGATAAATATTGATATTTGTGTTTATGTTGCTCAGGAAAGCCACGGTGCCGCAGAAAGGCAAGTGGCCCATACTATGAACGCCATGCTGCACCGCAGGTGAGGTTGTTGGTTGTTGGACAGCGGGAGAGGCTGCTGTCCTCGAGCCGAAACTCCTCCTGAGCCTGGACGTTTGTCGATCACTCGCGTACTCATTAACAAGTCTGGCTGCCTGATCCTGTAGTTCAGTTGTTAGGGATATGCGATGCCGGACTATGTGTCAATTGTGCCCCGAAACGCGCAAAGGCATGTCACGAGTTCGTTGCAAAATGCGTCATGAGCCGATCCTGCCGCCAACCTAAAGCACGGCAGGTGCCTTGTCTACAATAGAATCCGTGAGTGTTGTTTGTTCCTAAAATCTTTCTGCGTGCGTTTTGTCGCATATCCCAAATTATTTCAATGTAAACGTCAAGCAGCTAAGGCGCTCTTGAAAGTCATGAAAATCACAGAAGATTGTGATTTTCAGCGAAGTCATCACAATTAGAGCGCCCTGTTTTTTACTTTTTTCATTCTTATATTACCAATTATAATAATGCGTGTTGGTTTATACATCAGAAAGTTAGCCTCAGTGGGTGTCTGGTGTCTCAGCTGTAGATAAGAAATTTAGCCAGCGCAGTACAGCCGCTAGACTGTGGTCATTAATCTGCATCACGCAGTAGTATCGTATTTCTCGGTGTATAGTCCGCGGAATGTACGTGTTTAAAAGTTGTAATTTTACCCGGTGTGGACCGTACAAGGTTTTGTATTTTTCTAAATACTTCACTGCGACAAGACGTGAAGAATGTTATGAATAACTAAGTCTATTAATTGTGAGTTATGTATGATATAAGCTCCTTTGTGAGCTAATACAGCAGGCGTTTGTAAAGATGTGCTGTGCATTATTTTTACGTTCGGATTAGGCACTAGGTGCGGTCTATGCACAGCCCGTAGACTATGCACCGGAAGCAGACTATCTAAACTAAATTTTTTTTTTTTCAGCTGAATTTTGTCTTTTTCGGTCTATACACCGGGTGCGGTATATAGTCCGGAAAATATGTAATACACGTCTGCACGCCGGTACAATGTTCATCCAGATCGAAACGTGCAGAAGTGGGGATTGTGTCCAGGATCCCTGGTTCCTGCAGCCGGAGCTTTCGCTCCACGTGCTCCGAGCTTGTGTGCGCTAGTCTAGTCGGCCACCGATGCCCCTTATATTTCCAGCTTGCAACCTACTTGCCAAGTACCTTCGAAGGTAATTCAATTACTTTTTACAGCCCAGCTCTCAGGCGCCTGTTTCTGGCTTCAGCAGCGTCGCTGTCGGCGTCGGCGTAACCGCGCGTTGCATTATGGGGCGTTTCCCATAATGACGTCACACGTGACGTCACGAGGATCACTAGGGTCACGAGTGACGTCACTCCTAACCGCGCGTTGCATTATGGGACGTTTTCAAAAATGACGTCACGAGTTACGTCGCGAGGGTCAGTATACGGTCACGAGTGACGTCACGAAGGTCACTCGTGAAGACGTGGCACGTCTTCACGAGTGACCTTCGACGGTGTGCAGGAGCAACGGCTGCAGGAGCAACGGCTGCAGTGCGTGGCATGACAGTGTGACGGTGTGACGTCATTGACGTCACACCGTCAAATGACGGTGTGCAGGAGCAACGGCTGCAGTGCGTGGCAAGGTGTCCCGTCGGGACACCTTGCCACGCACTGCAGCCGTTGCTCCTGCACACCGTCATTTAGTGACACGAGGTTTTTGGCCAGATACGCCGATCGGATATCGAGGGAGCTGCACGAGGCCTTCGAAATAAAAGAAAAGGGCAAGGACTGCATTAGTGACACGTCTGTGTCACTATCGGCAAAAGAGCACACTTTTCTACGAAGGGGGCTACACCGGACGTAGTATGACTGTGTAGTATGACTGTGTAGTATGACTGTGTAGTATGACTGTGTAGTATGACTGTGTAGTATGACTGTGTAGTATGACTGTGTAGTATGACTGTGTAGTATGACTGTGTTGTTTTCCATGAGTATATAAGAGAGTGGTTTTTTCATAAACGCTAGTTGCGAGTGCGCCTTGTTCACGTCTCCTTTCTTGTATCTTGTCCTTGTGTATTTTCGGCGCCCTGAAAGTTATCATGAACCAACTAGCCCAGATTGCCATTCTAATCACTCGTGAAGGTCACGACCTTCACAGCGAAGGTGACGACCTTCCCGAGGCCTTCACAGGTGACGTCTCGAGGGTCGCTAGGGTCACGAGTGACGTCACGAGGAAGGAGGAGGGGGAGAAGAAAGGGAGGAGGAAGAGGGAGGAGGGGGAGGGGCATACCTTCCTCTCCGTACCATCCCCTCCTCAAGAGTTGCACTCAAATTCGTCATTACAGGGAGTTGTAAACGTCTTTCATTTTTTTTTTGTAGTATTTGTACTCTCTGAAGACAGTTTGTGGTAAAAATAGCTTGAATACTATATTCTAAATACAATCTTAAACGGGTATTTAGAATATCATTTTAAATACTTTTGCTATGTGTTCAGCACAACACTGGCTTGCCCTGCCCTGTACGTAGTGCTCAGCGGAACGAAAAGGACCAGCGAAGCGCTTGGCTTCGCTAGAGTAACTGCAAGTGCTCCGTTTGAGCATATGCAGCTGCTCTAGCGCATATAGCTAGCCAATACAGTTAGTCTAGCATAGAGAAACCATATGACCCCGCCTCTTAATTACTCTAGGCAACGCTAAAGTAACTGTACATGCGCGAGGCCACTCGCTTCGCTGTTTCGTTTCCTTGAGCACTGCACGCTGCGCGACACCGTTAAGCAACAAGCAGGCATCAAATGTCAGCACTGCGGTTTGTACCATAACCGAGTGCCTTCCACCATTATAATTGTTTTGATGACAATATTCCTTAAATACTAAGAAAAAAAAAACGAGAAAACCGGCGATGACTCGCTCGGGCTAACGGTGTCGCGGTGGGTTCAACGGCTTAACAGGAGCAGCTCTTTTTCATTACGGTGACCTGCGGATCTAGGATGATGAAAACGCGCTCATTGGCCCTCACAGTACCGTAAGAAACATCTTGTCGTCGCTTCTCGACCGAGTTCAGAGACCGCCTACCTTCAAGAGCACAATAACGCTCTCAGCGCACATCTTTTCACCGTTCCCTCAAATCTTACTACGGTTCCACATAGTTCAAATTTAAATTAATTTTCCAAATATTCTTTCTGGAACAAGACACTCTTTTTTATGTGGATCGGGGATTATATATGACAGGCCAGTTTTCTTCGCTTCAGTTTAACTTTCTTTATCTGAAACACCCCGGTGCCGTCGATCGTCGCTCCCCCTACATACCGTTCCGGTTACCCTGTTTTACTGAAGCGCCGATCTGCTCCAGTTGAAGCAACCAGAAAGATTTTTGGTTTTTTTTTAAGCATAGAATTATTAATTATTTGAAACGCCGCTGTGTATAAAATACAAAGTATTCAGAATAATCTGAGACAGTGTTCTGCCTAAAATGCACAAACGGTTGCTCCTAATCCAGAGGAACTTTTTTTTTTTTAACGTTTCCGTTATATCATTGAAACGGAACGATCATAGTGGAAAAACAAACCTTGAGACTAGAAACCAAAAATGGGACAAGAAAACACCATTTTGTTTTGCTTCCGAAGGAAAGCCTGCACAGTTCCTCCCTACATTAATTTTATTTACGGCAAATTGCCGAAGGACGAGGTTTACTTGTCATCTTTTCTGTGTTGTAATTATCAAAGATCCCACAATAATAAAACTTTTAATTGATAACAAGCGGACAGGAGACCTGTGGATATAATGATTTTGGGAGAATCCTCGAGCATCTACGCAAGAGTTAATTGACTTCCATCTGAAATCGAGCGCAACAGGCCACTCGCACTCTCAGGTGACTGATGGCCGCTGACCGGGACCTCTTCAAAACGAGCGGAGCGCTCTACCATGTAGCCTAGATAAGGCGCAATTCAAGCTTCATTCCAGCTAGAATTCGGTTTATCCTCGAATAGAAGTTCCTCGCAGGGACATGGTCTTACCTGACGTTCACTCATGGTGACAGCTTTCCTCAAGACTATCCAGGTGACGGCTTCCGAGCAAGGCGGTGTTGTGAGCGATCCGAAATACTGGAAGTGATCCACTCCGTTCTTCGGCAGCAGGTGAGACAGAACGACCGGTTTTGTCACATTCATGTGCACGTTCTCTCCGGTCTGAACTTGTCTCACAGCGTCCACGATCACATCAAAGTAAAGGTTGTCCACTTGTCCTACCTGTAGGAGGCAAGAAAATTAAACCACACGCCTACTATGATTTATACAGGAGCTCTATCCATAGTGGAGGTAAGGCTGAGTAAGTGTACGATATTTCCGCAGTACCAATTTCTTCCTTCCCTTCTATGGGAATAGCGGTTATTGGCGAGGTTTTGAGCGGATCTTGGAGTGAGTGTGTGTGTAAGACGTGGACCACTAAACTTGAAAATATTTCCGCCAAATTTAACACAAACATTTTCTCTCTAAATTCAGAGGAAATTTATCGACACGAGACGTCACGGTGTTTAGTGACTACGTCCCGGAATGCCACGATGTCACGTGACTTCATTATGTCACGTGATGTCAGCATGTCATGTGATGCATGTCAGTGTCAAATAAAATCATTTTTTCGTAACATCATGATTTTCGTGACGTCATGGCGTAACGTGACGTCATGGCGGCCCGTGACGTCAGAGTTTTACGTCATATCAGAACGTCACGTGAGGTCGAAATGTGACGTGTTGTCACAACGTCACGTGACGTCAGCGTCAAGTGATGTAAGAATGTTACATGATGTTAAAATGGGACGTGACGTCATGGTGACATATTAACACCGTCCAGTAAATGCAGCGGGACGTAAGCCCGCTAAACTTAATCGGGGCGGTGTAGCTACATGTGCGCGACAGAGTGCGGCGTCTAGGTTGTCACCGCACTTCATTTACAGGACACAACAGGGAACTGCCAGTTTTTTGTTTGTTTTACTTCTTGCGCTCTCAGTTATTCAGCATGAAGACCAGCCGGTGAGCATAGACCAGAGCTGGGCAGAGATATTCCAAAACGTATTCGGGAATACAAATTCTGAGATACATGTATTTTATGGCCTAAAATACAGACACTAAGATACATGTCTTTTATGCAACTGGATATCCCCGAGATACTTCTGAAAAAACGTCGGAAAAGTATTCCGGAACAAAGATACTTATGGAAATATATTTATTCCCGGACGGTGCTACGTGGGGAGGGCGTAGTTTGTGGCGAACACAAATGGCAATTTATGCTTGTGCTCCTCTTTCTGTGTCATTTTACGCACTTTCCCTTACTTCGGACTAATGTCGCTAAAACAACATGCCACGCCCGGTGAGCCACATAGTTGCTGAGCAGTAAAGACTGCGTGCCATACTTGACAATAGGCGTTTGCACTAGATGAACCTTGTTTTGCCTTGAGGGCGCATCTCAAACTGTCGTCTTCTATGCTTGTGAGTACCCAATAGTATGAGGAGATTCGACAACAGAGCCGTATACCTTTTCTCCACTGAACTCCTCTACAGCGTTCGGTATGCTAAATTGGAAAGAGTGGTGGGCCTTGTAAGGGGAGCTTATTCTGTTATTCTTGCAATTAACCTTCTTTAAACCACAGATGTGGTTTGTTTGTTTTTTTATGTTGGTGATTGTGATGGATTACAATATAGGGCGAGTTCATGTTATAAATTCTGAAAAAAAAAAAGAAACTTGCACCAAACACATGTCTTTAATATCTTTTAAATTTACTTTGAAAACGGCAACAAACGTAACGAGATACCTAAGTCTGAGAAAGTATCACGATACAAGCGATTCTTTGTAACTGTATTTCACTAATGAGATACAAATGCATTTTTCAAATGTATCTCGATACAGAGATACAGATACTCGAAAGTATGTCTAAGATACTATGGCGATACATTTATATTGCGATACAGCCTAGCCCTGGCATAGACGTAGCAAGAACCGCTTTTACCGGTGTAAGAATCGCGCTATAATTCAGTTATTACAGAAAACATAAGGCGAATATCCTCAATTACTCAAAAAATCGTAGAAGTTGTGTCCCTCGTAAAATATGTATAAACGTTTTTCCCCCACGCCAGATTCGAGTCGCCTTAACTGAACTCAAGTTTGTCTCACCGGTATGACGAGCCATTGAAATGAGTATCGACGAATTCGCACCATGCCTGCGCTGGAGAGGACACCGCGAGAACGGCCGGGAGGAGCTTCGGTTGTCCCGCCTGCAGCGTGAGCTTCGTACCCTCGACAATGCTCGGACGTCTCGTGGGCCCCCAGCGCGCGCGCTCAGTCATAGCCTCCTCTATACTTGCAAAGCCTGGCAGTTCGACGACGGAGAGTGCGCGGTCGCACATTTGGAGCGCGGGGATCTGTTAGCATAGAGCATCAAAGAGCCATTTTTCGGGGAACCTAAAGCCCCTTAGGGGTACCTAGGGTGCCTCCATCTGCCGGCCGCTTCCGCTGACAGGGTAGAGACAAAAATAGAGCCAATGGAGCGCCACAATATGGCGCCTGAGGTCAGTATTAGCTCCACATGGGGTGTGGGTCCTATAAAGTGTGTCTGACAAAGTTGTGGTGCAAAAACGTTGTGTTTAGCGAAAGTTCTGGAAAGATAGACGCAATATGACGCTGGTGAGAGCAATGGCGGGTGTCTCCACCCTATCAGCGGAGCAGCCGGCAAATAGAGGCACCCAGGGGTACCTGGACTTCAGCGCACAACTTTTGCAGCGGCGAGGACCCTAAACACACTTGTTCACTAGGGAGAAGTGTGTTTCGGCGTCTCGCCGCAGTGGAGCGCAAGTCCCGTGGCTCTCCTTGCATCCATTGTCTGCTGCTCCACCGTTTCCATTTCGGCGGCCGCTTCTCATGGCGATCTGCCGGGCTTTGTCAGTAGGAGGCTATGGCTCAGTCTAAGCACGGCCGAAGGCGTAAAACGCGGGCTGGAGGCAGGGCGTTGAAAAGACACGCCCTGCCGTTCTCATTCTCTCAGTGACCATAAGAGGTGTTGCGCGACCACAATGATGAAGTGAAGCGAACAGAATAAAAGGAAACAAGATACGAACGATAGTTATGTCTGCGATCATCCATAACCGCTGAAACGAGCTTACGCGTGCATTACATCGGAAAGTTTTAGTACATAGTTGCGATAACAGAATACCCGATGACGGTACAATGCACTCGCAATAAGCGGCGGCAGAGTTCCGAATGCCGTTGTCGAAGTCGTCGGAAATATCTACTAAAAACTCTACTATCTTTGTACACGCTTATGGCCAGAGCACGTGGTCCCATATTCTTATGATTCTGCAGGTGCTACGTTGAGTTCGCGAGTTAGCAATGCTAGGAGTATAGCTTCTGTATCTCAAGCATAAAATGCTATCTTAAAAAAAAAAGGAAAAGAACTCAGCTCGTGGTTTACTGCGCTTACGCATCTTGCTTAGCCATTCATTCTCCGATGCTCTTATCGGAAACGGAAACAGCACGACGCTTTGCCGACCCTTCATCTCCCTCACCACGGGCGGCAAGCAGTACGGGGCCTGGAACGCGTCCCATCCCGCCCATACATCCAAAGTGTTCCTGAAGTAGCAACGTATGACGTCAAACGAGTCGGCGTGTCACATTGTCGGATGTCGCGATCCTGGCGGTCGGGTGCTACAGGTCCCGGCGAAAAGGACGAGCGAACGCGAGTGTCGCTGTCGTCACGGGGTCCCAACTAGCTGGCTGTTGGAACTCTCCGTGTCTGTCGGGCTGGAGAACGGCCGGCAGCAGAACAGGCGTCTGCCATATCAGCCACCGCTGCTGTGACACCGCTAGGATCGCGGCCAGCGGCAACGTGACACTTCTCTGACGTCATCAGGCGGAAATCAAGGGGTCAAAGCGCGCCTGTAGGAAACGCGTTCCAGGTAAGGGGTGGTAGGAACACGGAAAGCAGAACACGGAACCAACAAGCACAAAATATTCTCCCGCAGGAATTAAGATGCGGTTTATTTACCTTAAAAAGGACAGCAACAACTGCCAGGCCATCACCGTGCTTCGAGGCCTGTTCAACGGACGTGTATTTTGTGTTCATGTGTACCAGGTGCATCTGCGAAAAAAATACCAGAGGCAGTTGTAGCTCGCGATATGAGAAAAATACCATGTAGCGTGTTCTCGATCCCTCCGCCTGCTCCGCAAGCAGAGCTGACTGCGATAGCGCGTCTCTCTGCCCGCTTAGTTTCGGTTTTGGCTTCGGCTTAAACATGGGGCCATAGCAATGAACTTGGTCTCAGGGCTAAAAAATCTCAACGGAAGTTTCCTTTTTAAAAAGTTATGGACCGAATAAAAAATAGTTTTTATGAAAGTGTTCATAAAGTGTGTGTTTATTCATTTTTTGTATTCATTTGAAAGATTAGAAGAGAGCGCAAAGTTTACGTTTGATTGATTTTGTTTTTCGACAATATTACGTGACTGTTAAAGTTTGTACTGAAATTACCTTCTCTGTGTTTCAGATCTCCAACTGGTGGAAAAGTCTGACCCAATGTATTGGCAGTAAGACCTCACTGAACATGTCGAAGTCAGATAGGGCAAATCAATTACATGAACACGTAAGATGTTAAGAGTTGCTCTGCTTATATCGTACACACCCGTATTCATAATAACGTCTCGTGAAAGCGGCCCAAAATATGAAAAGAATGCCTGAGAATCTGGTGCGACACATGTGATTACAAGGGTCCTTTATCACTGCATGCACGAAACTTAATGTCAATAACCAAATATGTAATCATTATCCAGAATGATTTTCTGGGTTCCACGTACACACAACTTCGAGTACGGTCTGGCAATTTGTTTTTGAAGGTTACCAGAGAACATGGCATTAAAGACTCCAGTGCGCTTGTTCATACTGTTTGGCAAGATGTGGAGCCTCATCTACTGTGTCGTTTAGCTGAACGTTGCGAAGTCGTATAAATACAACTTCCATTTTTTTAGAGGGCAGCTCTTTGGCGCCCGTTTCCGGCTTGAGCGGCGTCGGCGTAACCGCGTGACACTGAAGAGAGCGCGAGGGTACCGGAATTGCTCCCCTGTCCTGGCCCGCTCGACGTCGCCTCCGTGATCGCCTCTGTCGTCTGCTAGGACCGTTTGTGTACCTAGAGTTCCCAACATTCTTTCGGTACCGCGGACGGCGCTGCACACTTCGCAAAATGTCTATGGCCGAGTTGGCGTCATCCGAGTGGGATATTTGATACCCGATATCCTATTTAGTATTTAGTTCAGCCCAGGACAGCTGCGGCACCGCAGAAAGGTCAAGTCGCCCACATACTAATACCTGCACCGCCGCGTCCAGCAATGATGTAAGGGTATTGTAGAGATAAAATAAAATCGTGGTGATTTTTCGAGTGAGCATGTGGGGGATGATGCCAGGTGGCAGAGGATGCTGCTCCCGGGCTTGGATCATTCCAGGCGGTGCCGGAAGTGCTTACCTCCATGGAGTAGCTGTTGTCGTCCACGACGTGCTCGGATCCCCTGGCCGAACTGTTTCCCCAGTGGAAATGAAACTGCAGGAACCGGAACGTAGAGGCAGGGTGGGGCAGCCGTATGCCGTGGTACCGGTCGTGCGGTGCGGACACCTGCACTGTGGACGTCGATGGGAACAAAACATGCGCGTTGTAAAGCGAACATCCACTCAGGGTTCAGTAACCGTCCGAGGAACGTGCCCACTTAAAGAGCCCAAAAGCTAGCATGGCCATAGCTGCTTATAGGCCAGCAAGGGGTTTAGAAACAAGTCGCCGTTTTCCCACACTGTGGGTACTGCGCGTGCGCAGAAGGCAGTTTCGCGTGAAGTTAAGCGTCCGCGCATGTGTCAAGTTGACAGCAGCAACATTGGAGCGGCGTGACGTCCGAGTTCCGCGTTGGTGTATAAAGGGACCGTGTAATGATCGCTCTACACAGAACTCCAAAAAGACAAGAACAAAAAAATATCGGCACATATTCTAAGTGAGGTCATCTTTCTAGGTGAGGGGAGGTCCAGTTAAGTAAAATCTAAAGTTGGGGAGAAAAAATTCGGCAGAGACACTCAAGACTGCTTACATGTAGGAGTGTGAAAGCATTCCTACACGCAGCTTATTCGTATAGAAGCAGCGCGCCGCGTCTTCATATCGCACACGACGCTGCGGCGGTGACATCACGGGCTAATTTACACTAATCTCGACATATCATATTTCCCCTGTACATTATCATCAAAACGCGGTAGAAATATAGCGTTGGGTTTGCCCTTGATATCGTAAGCAGCGAAATCGTAGGTTACGTCAATGAAACTTCTAGATTTCTTATTAATTGACTCTGGTAAATTTTCGATGTCGCTATTTTGAATAGTTTCATTTTTCTTATAATTAGCCACTTTGGAGAGATGGCACACGAGGATGAGGAAGCAGGCACCCCGACTTTCGAAGGCCTCACCAGCCTCTTGAATGTTCGCCCTGTCATAAACAACTCCTCAGGCGAAGTGCTGCACCTGCCCAAGCACAGGAGATGGGCCGCACATACTTTGAACTTAGTGGCGACTGTGAACGTAAATAAAGGATGCACGATCAGCACGTACCGTTAGATGGCAACGGCCGTGTATTGAAAACTGAAACTTATTTGGAATAATCAGGGCCAGTCCACCCTAAGTCATCAAGAAGAAACTAGGAAGATACTTCCCGGTTCCTAACACTACTCGCTGGAATTACCTCTAGGATTCAATGAAGTTTGTTGACGAGGCCCAGAAGGACAAGATGGAGTGTGTCTGCGACGCCCTCGCACTGCCGAGTCTAGAAAAAGACGATTAGAAGTTCATCGAGGAGTATTGCCAAGTATGCCCAACAGCTCTCTCACGTTTTTGCGATATTTTTAATGTGTTTTTTTTTTTTTTTATTATTCCTTAGACCACGACAGGAGTTGCCAAGGCGCTCGGGATATCCGTTGAACAGTACATGTTCATGAGCGCTTTGGTGCCGACATTGGTGGCGCGCTGATGCGGCAGCTACATTTACTGCCTACGCTCAAGTTTTGCAGCTCGCTTGCAGACACAGTGAAGATCGCAGTGACAACGACATTCGTTTCTCATTCTTTGGAAAACGTACGAACTCTTTGTTAGCGCCTTTTTGTAGAAAGTTACGTCTGCCAGGCAGGCTCATTCACGATTATCAAGACAAGTAATGCACACATTTTCATTACATATGAGTCCTAAAGGGCCTTAATTCGCCACAATATTCCTACAATCTTTTTTTATTAAGGCAGGCATCATATGGCGAATAACGTGGACGTAACAGCTAATGCACTTGTACTGCGACCCGCTCGTTAAACGTTTGTTAAACGTCCTCAGGTCTGACGATCTCCTTCTGGGTACAGCGGGGCCTCCAAAATTTAAAATTTCATGGATGGATGACGCGCTAAAATAGCGTTCTCTGCTGCTTCTTGAAGAGGAATGTAGCGCACTCTACCCTTCCGAGGAAGTTACACGGGAGCCAACATGCGATGATGATGATGACGACGACGACTCCTCCTTGCGACCGCGTCCTAGAACTGAGTTGACCAGCGAAGAACAGAGATAGAAGACTGCCACCTCATCAACAGCGTTATTCAGCCTCAACGACCTTCCCCAGCATTAAGAATATTTTTTTATGCCTTAATGCCCCACTTCCTTCTAGCGCACCTGTTGAACGCCCTTTAGGCAAGGGGCGGGACGTTTTTAACATCAAAGGCGGAAAGCTAAGCGACAAGAACTTCGAAAATCAGTTGCTGCTTCGATACAACATGGAGTAAATAATAACACGGCGTTATTAAATATATCTTGAAAAGTTTAGAGTTTTCAAAAATTCCCAAATTAATGTAAATGTTGCTCCATTTGTTCTGTCATCTATGTCTTAATAGTTTCTTACACATATGAGTATCTTGAAAGTAACTAATTTACTCTGCCGAAGTAACTGTAACTGTAACGCGTTACTTTTGTTTTTAGGTAGCTGTAACTGTAACTTAAATTTAATGTTAGGAAAGTAACTGTAAATATAACTAAATACTTTTAAAAAGTAACTTACCCAAGTCTCATCTCAGGGCAAGAGAAAAACATGTGGACTCTTTTCTTTTTCGCGGACTACACTGTGTGGACCAATGAAAGCCCTATAGTACGCGCTAGGGTGCCTTCATGCGCGCTTTGCTTAGGGTGGTGGCATCTCGCCATTTTGTCACACACGTTTATTTTTATTTTTTGTTCAGAAGCGCGTGAAAGAGCGTGTCCCTGCACGCGCTTGTGGCGCTGACTGTGCTATGGCGACATTTTGTTTTCGTCGATTTCTTTGTATTTTGCCCGTGAGCGCGTGCTGTCGGCATCTGCTACTACAAAGGGTGGCATCACCCTAAACAGAAGGACATTGAGGCACCCTAGTACGCGCAGATTCCGAACGATTTTATTATAACTCGTTTCGAAGGGAGTCTGATAGGTACGCATTCGGATAAGACTTCTGTTTTTATCCGCGGGGGAAGCCATCGCTTGCAACTCGCCGACAAGCGCCCTTCGTCGACCACTTCACTCGAAAGAAACTTCATTCCAAAAAGGGCGTGTCGCGATTTTTGAAGACGCTTTTAACGAGGGAATAAGCTACGCACCATTCTGATTTCGGGTTTTTTTGGGATGCTTAAAACGTCTAGATTAAGTTCTCACCACAAAATAACAGTCTCAAAATCGACTTTAGTGCCTCTTTAATTAAACAACATAAACAAAAAAAAAAGAGTCAATTCATTCAAATATTCGTTATTCACGACAGCAATGGGGGGCTCTCGAACGAACACTAAGCTTATACATTGGTTTCATGCAATATTTCTGTTTCTGTCCCTTTAAGTTTTAGGAAGAAGTGAGGTGGAAAATTATTGCGTCATGCGCCACCAACTGATCCCTTTCAATGTCGCTTACCGGTATGGCCGTTGTTGACGATGTCGGGGCTGTACAGCGGTTCGTCGTAGTTGATGTACCGCATCGGTCCCAGAGAGTCGGCACATATCGTGCTCCTCACTTTGATGTGGATCGGCGACTGGCTGTAGCTGGCGCATTTGTTTTCAGATGGACCCACGCTCAGTTTGGACCAGGAACCGACACCTGTTTCAAAAGTAAGCGAGACAGGTAGCCGATTTTGTTCAACTCGATGTTTTGTGGTCTCTAGATACTCGAAGAAACCGTGAAATATAGAAGAAAAAAAAAACAGGCGAACTAGTGACCGAGTGTGTTAAAGCAGGCGCGAAACGGAAGTTCGCGCTGCAGAACACCCACGGTTCCTAGGTTCATTTCCCCACCATAAAATGTGGCTGTCATCCCGACAAAAAACAACAACTGATATATGGGAAAGTAGCGACAACCTCCGCATATGGTCGCCATTTTGGTTCGTGGAATGAGCAGTTTCTTCTTGATCTCTCCACTCTTGGTGAGCCGATTCAAATTCGCGGTGATCGGTTTCCTTATACGTGGCTTGCACTGACGTCTCATCAGCCGCCATTGCTCCGTGCAATGCTCCTGTGCCCGTACTTTCTGCGCCATATATAGGGTGTCCGAAGTCACCTGACTGGATCTAAAAAGGATCGTAAAAATCGACGCCTGCACGTAGAAATCTAAACTTTTCGTCAAAGGTGTATTTCACAGGTCGGTTTGTTCATGTAAAATTAGAAAACGTTGGTTCCTTTCTCTGTAAAATAGGGCCTAGAAACGTGCCAGGGTCAACGGCGGGCGGCGACGCAGACGACCAAGTCGAGTTGCGGGGTGCGTTTGGCGCGCGTATGAAGATGGCGTCGGGTGCAGTGGCGCCTGAGGCATCTGTGTCGTCGGCGGCCGCAACTTCGGCAGTAGCGAAACGTGGCCATCCACGCCAGTACACCGCAGGCAAACTAAGAGAGCGTAAGAACGACATTCATGCTTTCGCATTCACATCTTATACCAAATGCTTAACTATTCCGTTGTCAAAAAAGCATCGATGCTTTTTTGGCATTCTGGTTGCAGTTTTGTTTTAATGGAACAAGAAATAAACGTTGCACAGTATTCATCTACAATTTTTGCCTTGCCCAAGATTTGTTGTGGCGAAAAACAAAAGGTATAAAACGTAGCTTGCTAGTTGTGCTGAGACAAATATGTGGGAGCGTTTATCGATATGGGGGTATGGCGCCGACAGCGCGTGCGAGCTCCTGTTTGTGGATGCTGGTCAGGGACGAATACGAGAGACATCAACTATGACCTAAATCCGGTACTTTATTTTAAGATTACACGAGCAGGAAATTGCACTCGGAAGCCCGACCCCAAGCTAGAGGCACCTACGTTCCTATCTGCTGCATTATATACCGTCTAAAAATCGAAATCGTAAGCGTGCATATTTACAACCAGGTAGCTGCAGCAGAATCTAATAGCAGAGTCAATTTCTTAAGGGCCGCCGACGTGCCGCCGACAGCCTGATTTCGCAATGAAAAGCCAGCGCCCCGACCAGCCCGAGCTTGCCTAGAGCTTGCCCGGTCTTGCAGATCGGGTGGGCTGCGACGACAGCGCCACCACGCTCTATGAACGGAGGAGGCCGGCTTTTTGAAGCGAGACTAATGTGGAGCTCGTCAACTGAGCCGATTAGTAACGTTGGTCCCAACATTACCCTGTATTCTGGTACACTGTACTGTGGGTAGGGGGGATTGGTGGCCGAGTGGGTTCAAAGGGGCCATGAAACGGTTTTTCTACTTCTTCCTCCTTAGCTTTAATCCTCAACTTAGAGCCACTAATGAGCTGCGCTTAGAGTATCGGCACCCCGTTCCCGAACACTGATGGTCGCCGCTATTTTAGGGCTTGTGCAGAGCAAACGCAGCTGCCGGTCGTCATTATTCAAAAGTGCGACTTCCTCAGCATTATATTCGGTGTTAGGAAGTTTATGTAATATTGCTTTGCTTTGTCGCGAACTGTTTAAACATTTGTGGAGGACGGAAAATAGTTTCCTATGATTTCAGATAAAGCTTGATTTCAGATAAAGCCACAATATGGTCAAGTGTTGTTACTCTGAAGCCTAGCTTATTTAGTGGCACTACCTTAACTCAAAAGCAAATTGTGAAATCACGTCGTCGTGACATTCTTGGGCACCGGTGCGATGACTTCAAGCTTTCACCGTGCTTTTTAAGCACACCATAGAACTTGTCATTCGCAAGTGACGATAAGTTCCGTCAAGGCACTCACTGACCACGAACGCGAATCCAAGTGTTCGTCGACGGATTGATTGTTGACGGGCGCATACGTTCGGTGGCGTCATTTTGGCACCGCTGAAGCGCTTTGGGTACCGCGGACGTATCATAGTGAAAAGGCGCAGAGCTTTCGAAGGAAAGAAGAAATCCTTTATAGCTTCAAATGTTCGTACCGAAAAGCTGGCTTTTGACTTTCTAACCTCTTTCTTTTGGTCCACTAAACGATATGCGATTAGTAAAGTCCTAATTTAAGATTATTGATCTCAGCGCAATATTTGTTTCAAGGGTCCTCTAAAGCCCCTTCATGTTTTTAAAAGTAGCGCAAGAGACGTCGATGCAAGAGGCACGTGCATCGTTCAGCCCCTGGGAAGATGATGGCGGCACAGCGCAGCATTGATACAGAATTGAGCTAGATTTCAGACGCCATGTTCTCAGACCTGGCGCACGACACGTGTCTTGAGCATTTCCAAAACAACAATGAACGGCGCCACTTTTCAGAGGATAGAGGGGCTTTAAGTGGGCTAACGCACACCAGCTTGGAGCACGTGGAGCGAAAGTTCGCGCTGCAGAACCCAGGGATCCTGTCCCCACACCTGCCCGTTTCGATTTGGATGAGCATCGTACCGCGCGTGCGATCATGTATCACTACTGCGTGGTGCACGTTAAAGACCCCAGGCTAGCAGTTGTACTGCACCGGCTAAATTGCTCATCTACAGCTGGGAGAGAAGTCGACCGTTGAGGCGGACTACGTTTTAGGCTATGTAAACATACACGCACCCCAATTTCTTCTCTGTAGTGTGGTTATGGGGGGGGGGGGGGGGGGGGTACTTGGCTAGTCTTGGCTATGGCAGGCTGCAATGGCTTGGCCTGAAGTTTGCTGGTTGAACCGAGAGAGAGAGAGGTGATGGTTTATTGAAAATATTTAGGCGGACTTAGCCTTGCTGATTAGGCCGGCATTGTTTCGCCGATGCACGGTTGAATCGAGCTGACTAATTACATGTCATCACCATGCCTCCTCGAAAGAACGAGGACGACGACGGTGGGGTGCGTTGACTGAGTTTCCACAACGAAGATTTATATGAGCAGTTTAATGTAGTCCATGCAGGTAAGCTCTCGGCATTTTATAGCTGCATCTTGAGTAATGGCACGTGGACATTTTCACACCCTCCACATGCCATGGAGCAATAGCACATCTTGAAGTGATAATCGGAGAACCTGCACCGGGTTGGAATCGTCCTTTTGCAGTAGACGAAGTAGCCTTGAGCATAAACAGGACGATGAGCCTGATACAAAGCGCTCGCGATTCATGGTCGCTATCGACTGACTTTATAAATAAGGATCCTTTCAGAACGTGTGAAGCTCAATAATATTGCAGCCACAATCGTGCTGAAATGTTTCGAACCTACGACCTGGGACTCGGCGAGAAGTTGCAGTTGGATTTCAAGCTCACTATACTCGGCTGCGCCACAAAGAAAGCACGGAATTCCGAGATTGTCAAACAAAAGCAGAAAGAGCTGCGTGACAAAACAGAGCAGAGTGTCACGGTCGACGAGCTTCGACGCCAAAGGGGACGTCAGAGCCATGGGAAAACACTGCGGAAAACGGGCAAGCCACCAGTTGGACAACCGGCAGTGCAGAACGTATGCAAGTGGTGCGGCAGCCCACAACGGCACTCTAAGAGACAGTGTCCAGCGTCGGGAAAACGGTGCAGTAATTGTGGAAAGACGGGTCATTATGCGACTGTTTGTTTGTCTGCACGTCAACAGTACACCTCAAAGAAGGAAACGGCAAGCACAGAATAAGTCTTTCTCGAGGAAGTCCGCAAGGCAGACAATCCAGAGCCGTGGTTCATCACAGCAACTGTGGATAGACGCCCCGTTCATTTCAAGGTCGACACAGAAGCGAATGTGAGCGTCATTCCTGTTTCACTATATGACAGCTACCACATGGAGCAATACAAAAAATCAGAGAAGATACTTCTTGGACCTGGCAGAACAACTATCAAGACAACAGGGATGTTCGACGCAACTATTTCATGGCAGAACAAGTCTGCTCGCCAGCTGGTTTTTGTTGCAGAAAACCTCCGAACAGCCTTGCTGGGACGGCCAGTCCTACGGGCTCTTAGTGTACTGGCACACCTGGAGTCAGTGGAGAGGCAAACACAGGACCCAGCAAACAAAGTCAAGTCTCCAGAGGCGATACCTGAGTTCAGTACATTATTCACAGGACTCGGGGTCATGAAGAGAATATACAATGTGACACTTCAGCCAAACGCTACACCTTATGCAGTAGCTGTTCCTCGACGAGAACCTGCTCCTCTATTGCCTAAACTGGAGCATGAACTCCAGAAAATAAAGAAGCTAGGAGCCATCAAGTAAGTTGAACATGCAACGCCTTGGTGTGCTCTTATGGTCACCGCCAAGAAAAAGGATGACGAAATCAGAATCTGCGTGGACTATACACAACTAAACCAGAAGGTAATCCGGGGAAGAGTCATCATGCCAACAGTTGAAGAAAACTTGGAAAAGGTAGGAGACGCCTAACTGTTCAGTAAGCTGAGTGCTTACTGAACAGCAAGCAGAAACCACTTGCTGAGGAATCCCAAGTTCTGACTGCATTTATCACACCGTTTGGGAGCTTTCAATTCCTGCAGCTACCCTGTGGCATTACAACAGCGCTGCAGAGTTCTTGCAGAGAGAAATGCTTCGTATCCTGAAGGAACTTCCTGGACAAGCTTGCCACCAAGATAACATAGTCGTGTTTGGGAAAAACAAAGCGGATCACGACGCTAAGCTCGTCACAGTGTTCAGCGTCTCAAAAAAGCTGGAATGACTCTCAATCCACGCAAGTGCGAATTTCGGAAGACAAGTGTCAAGTTTCTTGGGCACATCTTGAACAGTG